AGAGGGCTGATGGCTTATGGGGAAACGGAAGGTGGTCTTGTACCTTCTAAGTGAAATGGTCCCATTGGCCAAGACAACTCCCTGATAAGAGGGCCATTTATGAGATGCTAAGCAGGCCACACTCACAGAAGCTGGGGGTGGGTGCACTGGCCCTACAGCTCTGCTCTCAAATTTAGTATGAACAGAAATAAAGATATATTTTTATCTTCTACTTGGCTCAGACATGTACTCTTCATGTAGAGGAAGAAATCTGATTATTACTCTAAAACCTCAGCAGTAGGCAACCAAGTTTTACTCTGCATTAATACCAGATTGAGATGGCTTATTTATAGAATAATCACACATTTGCTTAAGCCTTTCATCACAGCAATGTATGATAGAGTTTGTCTAGAAGAAGGAAATGAAAATAATAATTTGTTTGCTTTGCTTATTTTTCTTTCTAATAAATGAAGGGTACAACTTCTAGTTGTTTATTGTAAAAAAAAAAGTATAAAAGAGAACAGGAATAATTAAAGGAAACATAAATGGTACTTTTGGTTAATGTTGAAAATGCTCTAGCCACAAAGGCTCCGTAACATATTGGAGAGTATTCAGGCTTTGGAGAAGGGTAGAGATAGGTCCAAATTGAAAGTCCGCCTTGTGTAAGCCTCTTGAACTTAACTTCTTTTAGATTCATTCTCTTCACTTATAGGATTGTTGACTCAATAAAAGATTTAAAGCTTCTCCTATGGTGCCTGGCACATAGTGTGTACTCAAAACAAAGAGAAGCTAATATTGCTGTTAGTCAGCTTTGAATCACTGTGACTAAAATATCTGACAAGAACAACTTATAGGAGGAAAAGTTTATTTGGGGATCATAGTTTCAGAGGTTCAGTTCATGGTCATCCAACTCAATTGCTTTGGGCCTGAGATGAGGCAGAACATCATGGTTGAAGGGTGTGGCTGAGGAAAGCTTCTCAGCTCATGGCATTTGGCAAGCTGAGAAGGACAGAGAAAGAGGGGGCAGGCAAGGGTCCAGAGAAAAGATTTATACCCTTCCAGGCCATACCCTCCATGACCACTTCTTGCAACTAGGTCCCACCTCTCAGTAGTCAATGAGTTAATCCATCAAATCTGTTTTTACACTGAATCTACTGATGAAGCCAAAGCCCTCATGATCCAATCACTGCCCCAAAGTCCCACCTCTTAACTTTGCTACATTGGGAACCATGCTTTCAAGATGGAACTTTGGGGGAACATTCCAGATGCAGATAACAATTACTGAAATATCTCCTAAGCAATGCACTGGACACTGGGGGTACTAGTTTTAATTATGACACAGTTTTTGCTCCCAAGAATTCTTAGTCTGGTGAGGGAATGACTTGTGAGTAAATAATTATGATGTGTGGGACTTAACAGGTATAACTTTGGAAGAGCGGATGAGGAAGTAATTGCATGTGGGAAAACCAGAAAGTCTTTGCAAAGGAGAAGAACAAATGAGTTGAATTTTGTAAGATGTGTACAAACTTCATGAAGAACAAGGGAGGTCCAGGTAGAGAAAACTCCCCCCACCTGTCTTTCCTGAGCCCATTGTGACGGAAGCAACTTTCCTTTACTGGGCACTTTCACCATGATGCTCTGCCTCAGAGCAAAGGAACTGACCATCTATGAAACTGACACTTCTGAAACTGTGAGCCTCAAATCAACTTTTCTTCCTCTAAGTTGTTTTTGCAGGTATTTTGTTCACAGCTGTGCAAAATCGAATTAAAAAAGTGTTCATTAAGAGTTATTTAAAAACTCTATTTCTAGCCAACTGGATGTGGATACCTTTTATTATAAACCAATACGAACCCTCCATCTTGGTCCTATAAGCTTTTGAACTATGGTCGGCACTTCATTCCCATTCCTAAACATGACTTCTATGCTCATGAACCCTCAATAAATGATGATGGAGATGATTATGATATATTAATATAGGTATTTAGGATACAACTGAAGCATGTCAGAAAATGGGTATGAGTGTTTTGTTTAATTTACATTCATTGAATTGCAATTTAAGTGAGTCATCGGCTCAATGTTTACATAACTGTGATGATTTTTTTAAAATAAAAGGCATCTATATATTAAAAATGGCTTATTTTGTATGATCTAAGTGACAAATTCTAATATATCTCTGTAAATCAATACTTCCTGTTTTGTGATAGTTTAACTGAAGAAGATTATGGAGTTCAGATCTTTTAATTACTAAAGAGAAACAAAGAAATATTGAACACCTACCATGTTCTAGAAGCATTATGGCACCACTCAAGCTTCTCAACACCTTTGGCGGATACATGGAACAGTCACTACTATTTGCCCATCCACCCTCTACACTCCTTCTCACTAACAAAACTCTATATTTGTTCTGATATGAGGAGCTCTTGCCTAACCCTGGGAGATAAACAATGACTCAGCCCTAGTGTTATGCCCTCTCCCCCATGACTGGTTTAGGGGTGGCATGTGACTCCGTCCTGGCCAATGGGACCTAAGAAGACACCTTCTAGAGGCTTCTGGGTAAGATTTTTCTCTTGGTGGAAAGGCAAACTGCACAAGGGGAAGCTTTTCACACCTTCTGACAACTTGAGGAATTTGGAGGTGAGACTATGATTCTCAGAACTGGAGGAGCCATCTTATGATCATGAGCGAGGAGCCAAGACCATCTTAGAGAAACCAACAGGCCTTCTGAGCAGCTGAGCTGTAAGAATCACCCCCGAAACTGACTACCTGTGGACCCTGTGATATGTTAGAAAAACGAGCCACAATTATTCGAGCCAGTTTCAGTCAGGCATTCAGTCACTTGTAGCCAAAAGGATCCCTACTGATTTTCTATTCCTATTTACAGGTTAGGTTACTGAGGAAGAAACAGGCCAAACCATTAATTCAAGATCTTATAGATATTGAACAGGTATGAAAAACCACGTCTGTCAGACTGTAAGGCCCAGGCTCTGTGTCCTAGATGTTAAACAATTTTAATTTAAAGAAGAATGCACCCTCTTTCATCACTTCATTACCACCCTGCTCCTTACATTCTAGGCATTTTCAGTAACTTCTTCTCATCAAACACAAGGTAAGACGTGATTCTACACCAACTAACTGTACTCTGAAACAGCTAATAGTTGCACTTTTGGATAGTTTGGTATGTACTTTGTGTTAGTGTTTTACATGCATTATTTTATTCTCACACTAACCTTGTGAGCTAGGTTGTTTCAGATGAGAGGATAAATTTCAGAAAGGTTAACAACTTGTCCAAACTCACAAGTCTCCCAAGAGGCAGAGCCAGGATATAAACCTCTTTTACCAGCATGTTTAACTAGTGTGGTGTACTTTGCATATTCCTTCAATCCCACCCTTCCATACGCCATCTCTGAAAATCCTGAGTAGAAAATAAAGTTTTCCCAGATTCTTTCCTACTTTTACAAGGCAACTGACTGCCAAAAGAAGTTTCTGCAAGAAGAATACAGTTGGCTTTTGCCAAGACAAAAAAGGAATTTACTTAATATGGTGCCCAGCTGCTTGCCAATAAATTATAATATCTTAGGTTGGAAGAGACTACAGAAGTCATCTTGTCCAGCCTTTCCTTCCCAGAATGGCGACCTCAGTCAGGGTTATTCAATCTTTGCATGGAAACTTCCATTGATCTTGGGATGGCTCTCTTTGTTGTAGTTTCAATTATTAGAGAACTCATTCTTTTTATGGATTTTTTTTTTGCAACATGATTTTAGAGAATCTAGGTCTACCTTCCCTGCAAGTGTAAGCTTTGATGCCATGATGATCTGAGCATATAATCTATTGAACATATAATATTACTAGTCCTTGATCAGCTTCCATTTCCTCATTATTGAAACAGGGAAGAGAATCTCTAGCACTATTGGGTCAGAGGAGAGATTAAAGAAGAAATTCACATCCCTACTACAAATTCCCAAGGGAATTCAAATGGTTTGTGTTGTTCCTACTTTAAGTGTAGAACTTTCTAGTCAAGTGACCTCACAAAAGGTTGGACAGGAAGTAGCTTGCCTTTGTGTCCACTGGTACATGATAGAAATGTCCTCTTTTAAGGGTTTGCAATGAGTTTACCTCATAAGGGACTGACTATAATGCGGTAGTTTCCTTCAGCAGAAGACCATAGGCCTGGTGGTAACTTAGAGTATAAAATAATTCTGCTTAGTAATCACACCTAGTTTGGCATATAAGTGTTCAATAAATATTAGTTCATTTCACTTGAAGACTTTTCTGTTTCTCACTGAGTTTTATTCAGGAACTATCCACTGAGCGCTTAATGTATTTGCATGTTTTCTGTCTTTGCTACAGCTCCCCTGATGCAGAGATTTCATCTTTCAACATTTTAGTCTTTTTTTTTTGTAGCTCAAAGAGGAGAAGTCCTCAAAGTTTGACAGTTATCCCAATTGATTGTAAGATACCAGCACACTACAGTGAGGAAATCAGAATTATTTCAGCCAAATTATTTCTAATCCCCACAATTCCTCACATCTTCATGTGATGGTGAATGGTTGAACATTTTAAATCAATAATGCTCACCTTGGAGGAGTCTGAAGCGTGGCCATGCACATGCTCATAGACTGATTCCCTATCCTTCTCTACTTCTTGTTGCCATAGTTGGGACCTAGTGGCCTAGGCCAGCACGACTCATGGTCCAGTTTTTCCCAAAGTTTAATGTAAAAATATCTTGGGGGAACATTTTTTCAGATTTATAAACCTCATCCTCACATATTCTGATTCATATGGAGCCTCAGAATGGACTTTAAAAATAGTAACTCCCATGTGAATAGATCATTTTGAGAAACATGCAGATAGGTTAAACCTCAGTGGCTTTCATGAAAGTAAAATTGTTGCAGCTTCCTTAGTTGTTACCTTCTTAAATTCAGATCCTGGGGCTCTTACTTCTTCCTTGAGAGAAAATATTATTTGTTTTTGACCCCAATGAAGGTGGTTGTCTTGTAACAACTCCCTGACATATCTTTCAGGACCTGGAGACTTACTGTGGAATCCCAGTCCATTATGTCTGGGTTTATTTTCTCTACACTCACTGAAGATAGAGATTTCTGAATCCAGAAAAAGGTAAGAGTAATTAATTAGATGAAAACTAATTCTGTGATGCATCTGTTGTGTGATAACATTGAACTGGAAACACAATAATCAAACCATGGGCACCACCTCTACAGTTGTCATCCTGGACTTCATTACTTAATTGCCCTTTGCGTTCTCAGCTGAGTTTATACTTGCATACTTATTTCTGGTTCTGGCTTTTGAGAGTGTGAACTCCCATTTTTCACTCCCTTGCTTGGCTCTGCACAACTTCTAGACTATGATAAAGTCTAGTGTTGGGTCATTTGTTTCTTTTGAAAACTGATATAATGATAATAATAAGCACCAATCGAGTACATGTTACATGTATTACATTTATTATATCATTTAATCCCCACAGCAAAAGTGTGAAATTGGTCTATTCTTATGCCTAATTTTAAAAAATGAGACTGAAGCACCAACAGGTTGGTGTTACATGGTTGTGGAATTAGTATGCAGGCCATGGGTGCTCTCAGAAAGTGCCTTATATTGCTTTGTTCTATTTCTGCTGAACTCTCCCTTGCTTACAAAGAGACAAAGGAGTCTCTGGAAAAGCTGCCTTTTTCTTTAATGCTTGTGATAACATGGAAGTGGAAGGCTGAAGTTCCTCCTTGGAACTTCTTGGGCAGCATTTAATTCCATTTCCCCCCCCCCAAAAGAACATTTTTGAAACCATAACATTCCCTGTTATCTCCTCTAATAATGAGATCATCTCAATGATCCTGGGGGGGCTAGTTGTATTTTATCAGTGGCGCCTTTGTTACACAATTTACATTTTTGTTCTTGAAGATACAATAAAAGATTTATGTCTGATGGGCTATGATGTGGTTTGCATCTAAGAGAAAAACAATTCCTTCCAAAAAAATACCATATCCCCAAATGATTTCATAATTGCAAACAGTGTTGACGAGCTCTTTGCCTTAAATAAGTTTATAACATATTTGCTGTGTTTTGGTGTAGATATGTTTTGATGTGCTTGCTAAGGAAAAATAATTAAAACCCCTCTGCCATTTCTAATTGAGAAGAAAGAAATGCAACCCATTAGTTGATGTCTACCATCATAAGATTTTATTTTTTCTCCTTCATTTCATTCCAGATTTGTTTCAAGGATTAACTTGCGTTAAATAGTTTCAGGTCTGAACGTCAGCCATGTTTCTCATTATTGGAGATCAAAATGGCTTAATTCCCTTTGAGTGTCGGTGCCACTAAAACACAAAGGAATCTTAAAACTACAAATTTCTGATAGAAACACCACATTTTCTTAGTCACTCTGCCCAGCAGAGCTTGTGCTTTTTGTGCATTTACTGCTGAAACAATTATTTGTGCCAACAAATCCCAAGGTTCTGATGTCTTGCACAGGTTAGGCAAGAATTCTAGCAGTGGTATTGTGACTCCAAAAGTCTCGTCACTCTTGTACCTGCAAAAATGTCATTGTGACTTTTGTTTTCTAATGTTCACTGGATCACAGTTGTGTTTGGTCTCTACGCAGAATGTGGCCATCCATCTGATGGAGTAAGAACTCAACATCTAAATTAATCCAGGAGCTTCTGGATTTCAACAGACTTGTCTTTAAATTCTGATTCAGCTACTAGCTATGTGACCTGGGTGGAGTTTGAAAATCTTCCTCATCTGCAGAATGGGATTAATGGTAGGTACCTGTTTATTGACTGTAGAAAAGCTACAAGGAATTGATGCCGTGTCAAGCAATTGCCGAGCACATTACTGCTATTGTGTGTTGCACTGTTGCGCCGAAGGCGAGAGACTTCTGGAGAGTCTTCCCAGCTCTAGAATTTCATTGTGACTTTTCTAGACTTGGTTGCCTGGTCAATTCAAGCTACATAATTAATACTAATGAAAAACTGGGGGACATGGAAAAATGGGGGCAAGAAGTAGTATCCTTCTTCCCTGCTGAATATCGGAACCCATTGAGGAAAAAGACCAAGAGGTTTGGGAAATGGTTCCATTAGTGAGCAAGGACACACATTTGTTTAACAGCTGGACAAAGATGGAGGTGCCAAGTCTAGTTCTATTTGGACTGACGAAATCAAGAGTAAAGACTGAGGCATGGGGCTGTGGCTTCTCCATGGAGAACCTCAGAATGAGCTGTGTTTATCCTGTCAGCTGGCCTCAGGCACTGGCCTCCCTCCTGAGGAGCAAAGAATATGTATTCCCATCTGTCAGCTTGTCAGGGTAGATGAAGGGGGTCTTCAGGCACATCTCGAACTCACCAGTCCGTCCTCCACCTGGAGAGAACCATCAGGAATACAAGTGAGTGTTCCCCTGATAGGATTATGTACCTTAGAGTCTAGAGAGTTTAAGAAATAAATGACCCAGATTTGTCACTTCCTGAAGACACAGTTTATGGAAGATAAGCTTAGACCGAGGTATTTTATTTTACTTGTAGGTTAAACTAGTTCATATCAATAAACTCAGTCTTTTCTCCTAAGTCCTCAGAGTCCTGGTGACATAATATCCTATGCAGAGGTGGGAATTCAGCAGAGAATCTTTTCCTGGGCTGTTGCCCTCCCATCTCCCTACAGCTTCTTTCCTTCCTTTCTATTTATGACCCCAATTATGGATCTTACCTGTACTGCTCCTAAGTCTTCATACAGAAGTAACTGTTGGCATGGCATCAGCTGCCAGACTGGTGATAAAGCAGCTGACGTTTGATTTCTCCTATGCTTAAACTCTGAGCAGAGGTAAATTGTTTTATGACAAGACTTGGCACCTCCATCTTTGTCCAGCTGTTAAACAAATGTGTGTCCTTGGTCACCAGTGGAACCAGACTAGAGGGGTGTAGATAGCTGAATGTGTGCCATAATTACTACTGTTAAAACAACTCGAAGCACATGTCCTACTGACAGGGGTGTGGGGATGGCAGGCGGCACATGCGCCACACAGACGTTCTGAGGTATGTTTTCAAATTGTGCTTAGCAGGAGGTCCCAGCCACACACACACACTTTCAGAATCTCAGCTTGTGCGTGAGGAGAGGAGTCGCATAACACATGCACGGTCCCTTCTTTCTGTGCTGTTCACTTCAAGGGTCTTCTTAAGATCAGAAGCCTTTTCCTCTGTGCTGAGGCTTTTCTTAAACTACTTTTATTACAGTACCTGTATCATGGCTTTTTAATTTTTTAAACCCATTTTGAGTTTCTCACTTGGCTGAGAACCCTGCAGGCTTGTTGAAGCCACCTTGTTCATAGTTGCTTCAGGAGCACTAAGCACACGGACCCATGGGAAGAGCTCAGAGAATATTTTAGGATTTTCTTTTTCTTTCTTTTTGGTACCAGGGATTGAACCCAGTAGCGCTTAACTACTGGCCATATCCCCAGCTCTTTTTTTCTATTTTATTAAGAGACAGGGTCTTGCTGAGTTGCTGAGGGCCTGGCTAAGTTACTGAGGCTGGCTTTGAACTTGTGATCCTCTTGCCTCAGCCTCCCCAGTTACTGGGATTGCAGGTGTGAGGTTTTTCTTAGTAGGTACTTCCTAAGTCACGTGACTTTGCTTTGTTTCTAGCCATGATCTGTAGACTCAGATACTCAGATTCAAGGGGATCCAAGATCCCTGAGAAGTTGACTGCATTACTATCTTTTTTTGGGACATGTTCACTGCCAAAACACTGGGATACCTGGGCTCCCGAGTTTTCAACACCGCAATGTAAAGAATCATGTTTCATCTACACCTTGAACTCTGCTGTGTCAGTCTAACCCGTTCTTTTTTGTGCAAGGAATGTCAAGACTGGAACCTGTACATAAAATTTCAGGCACAACTAAAACACAGTAATTAAGATAAATAATATTTCAACCCAATATTTTTAAAATTCTAAATGAATGCAGACTTTTTGCTTATCAAATTTTCAATAAAGACAGTTTCAGTATTCTCAATTTTATTTTCTGCCTCAAATGGCTCTTCTTTATTGATTCACTTGCTTCACCCTACTTCTGGCCTTGAAGAAGACAGCACTGAGGAGAAGTCTCCTTGGCTGTGACTTTGCTGATTTTTTTCTTATCCTCTTCTTTTTTGGTGTGTGTAGGAGATGGAGGGTGGGAGATGGTACAGGTTTCAGGTAGAACCCAAAGGTAAATGCACGGTCATAAAAAATAGAACTTGTTGTCAAATCTGAAGTGCCTGTATTAAGAAAGATTTAGTAGGGAAAATATTGCATATTTAATAACTGAATAACAAAAGACTGAAATAAATAAAATTTAATAACATCTAGCAATAAGACTGCAATATTTATTCCTCATTTGAATGTGCATAGCTTCATTTTTATTTGCCTTGTCCTTTATTGGAACTGATTTTTTTTAGAGGGCTTTTTCTTAAATTGCTCTGGATTTCCTCTAAGCAGTACAGGATGCTCTTGTATGCAAAGTTACTTATAAATGAGAGCAAATGTGTATGAAATCGGCAAATGTTCCAAATGCACCATTCTTTCCTACTGGAAGAGCTTTCTTCATTTACATAGGAGAACATGAAGCCAGAAAAAGGGGAAAAACACAAACATGAAATCTTCAAGAGCCTTTTGGAAACACAGCAGAAAAACAACAACAAAGAGCCAGACTGAGTGGTTTTTGAATTTCTTGCAAAGCGGCAGCTACGAGGGGAAGAGTTCTGTCCCTGGGATTGTTCAGTTGCTGGGGCTGGACAATAAGGTGCTACTGCTGTGCAGGCTCTGGATGGGAGGGAGAGGGGAAGATTGTGTAATTGTAGAAAAGCATCTTGAAACTTTTTCAGTTTCATTTGTTTCCAAACAGGAAAACAAAGTGCTGAAGAAGCTTGAAGAGAAGGGAAGCCCCGGGCAGTTTTTCTCTGTTGAGGCACAGCTGTGGCTGTATTGCAATATCTCCCAAGTGTTTTCTTTGGATCTCTTTACCTGATGCCAATGGTACACAACAAAAGTAGCAGAGAGCTGCTTGGTTGGAATGAAATCCGGGTAAAAACTCTTTGAGTTTTCTCCTTGCCTCTTTCTGGAGCAAAAGGAGTGTCTAATTTGCTTATACGTGCAAGTGTCACCCACCCAACACATACAAGCACACTCACACACAAGTTCGGGAGGTGCAGGTTGCAGGCAAGCTTTCCTGCTGAGCCGATTGTGGGAAGGTACAAAATCTTGGCCCACAGTGTGCAAAATGAGATGCACATAGACCCACTACTTAAGACTAGATTGCTCGTTTTTTTGACCCCTCCCACAGACAGAGAACTGCAGATCTGAGGGAGCAACATTTCCCCTGGATGAGTCGTCTCATGGCTGGTTGCACATTAAAAACACCTAGGGAGCTTTAAAAACTATGGATGCCAAAGCCCTACTTCAGTCCTATTAAATTAAATGTCCTAGGGGTAGGAAGCATGCATCCAAATTTTTTTACAGCTCCCCAGGTGATTGTAATGTGCAGCCAGAGTTGAGAGGTCCTGACCCAGAGCTGGGGCCCACAGACGGCTCTTTTCTCTTGTCAGGTTCGACACTCCACCCCAACAGCTCCAACCAGCAGTGGAAGCTAAGACCTCTTACAGTTTAATTCAGTTCAGTGACATACAATTCAATTCAATAAATACTTTTTTGACTGCCTTTTTACCTTCAATTTCTGATTGTGTCTCCTGTGTGAGTAGTAAGAATTCTGTTTTCCAGAAAAGAGGGCAGAGATACTTGAATTTGTCGTATTTGTTTAAAGGCATATATTAAAAAATTACCCTCTTAAACATGGATCACAAGTTGCTAAAATTATCCATTGGATTTAGAAATCATCCTTTCTCTCGCACTGAAAGTACTAAGTAGAAATGTGTTTGTATGTACGTAAGACATTTATCTTTAAATTTGTCCATTTATTCAGTGGTGTTATTAAGCATCGATGAACTAAGATAACTATGACAGTGTACTGAGCTTGTGAAGACTGCCCAGACTAGGAGATGTGATACATGGGCAGGAAATTCAAGTACTGTGAACTGCAGAGGCTGGAAGAGATGTGTAGAAAAAGGATGTTGGAGATTTCTTCAGAAGGAGGAATTGTGCCTGGCGAGGTGGAAGGCTTACAGAGGAAGTATGGAAAAGGAGCCATTCTCCATGGAGGGTTTCAGGCAAGGGAGGAACGTGCTTTTTGGAGATCAGAGTTAAATGTCTGGTTGGAGGCTCCTCAGGGCACACAGGAGATGGGAAGATGCTGCCAACTGCCTTTGAGCTTAGACTATTTGACCAGTGGTTCTAAACCATTCTTACCGCATGGCTGAGTTTCAGAATCATGAATTTGCAGCTATCCTTGAGCTTGCAACGGTTGAGAGGGTACTGGTGGAAGGACTGGGGCTGCCGGCTCTTGGAATGCGGTGGGGAGGACTTGTGGAGAAGCAGAATGGAGGCTGTAGAATTGGATTGACCTGGGATTTTGTACGCTGGCTGTGGCATCCTGGGGAAGCTACTCAACTTTACCGTGAAGTTATACTTCTTTGACTTTAAAGCAAAGATACTCAGACTTACCACAGAGGCTTTTCATTTTATAGATGAAGGTTCAATGTATTAGATGTCACATAAAGTGTACAATAAAATGCTTGAACACAGGAAATGTCAATAAGTTGTAGGTCTCCCTTTGAGACAAGTTTTTTTTTTTTTTTTTTTTTTTTTTTTTAATTTTATTGGTGTTTACTTGCTCTTCTTTCCACCCTTGGCTTTCTCAGATCACACTCACAGGCCAGCACAATAGCTGATGAGGAGGAGTGTGTGATTTTTAGATATATAATATAAAGTGTGCTTTAGGAAGAATTCACAAAAAAATCACCCTTAAAAAATAGTCTAGAAAGTTCTCAGGCTCATCAGTGTTTTCTACCCCACAGATCTGTTCTGTAGTTCACTGCCTCTGCCTCCAAAATTAAAGCCCCCACAAAAATAACAAGCTCAGTGCTTCTGCAGCATTGACTCTTGAGTTCACAGCTTGTTCATTCTTCCTCCTCTGCATCCAAAGACGTGGTGAAGAAGGTTACAGAGAGAAAGACCTTGAAGAATGAGTGGAATTTCCTATGGCCGAGGACAGGCATTCCAGGTGGGGAGATTGATATGCGTAATGGCATTTTGTTCTTTACTGTAAGGAACAAAATACAGTAGAACAGTTGTTTGGGGGAGGACACAAGAAAAGTAGGGAAGTAACCTCAATATTTTCCCTGAAGCTACAGAATCTGACTGGAGAATAAAACTCACACAATTGTGTGTATCCCATAAAATATCCCATATCTCTTAGGGAAATCTGGTTCCCAATGTCTTTAAGATAATTGCACCTCATCTTTTATTCTGTGATTTTTATTTCTCCTTGTGTGTTTGTTTATGTCTTCCCTTGTGTCTTCTGAGGGACATTTGTGACGAGGTCCCCATCTTGGCTCACTGGGAGTTCATCTGCTCCTCGTGGCTGTTCTTTCTCCACCTAAAGTCACAATCTGTTCTTGGGAAGACTCACTACTCATGTGCACAACAGCCGATTGTGAGATTGAAAGGGAGAAGTGCAATCACAGTTGGGCTATGAGCGCTGGCGTGGAAGAAGTCCGATAGCCACAGACCCTCTTTCTGTACATGTGTCCTTAATAATAAAGAAGGGGTAGGGGGTCAAGAATGCTAGAAGGGAGCGGAGTCCTAGCTAGATAGCTGAGGGAGTGCACATGATGTCAGCAATGAATTCAGGCCCTACTTTCTGTTTTCCTATAAAAATCCTATTTTAGTTGTGGTATCTTTGACGCATCTGCTGGCATAAGCAGGATATATGCCACAAATAAAGATTCAAAAATATCTCTTTCTTGTAGAACTTGGAAACAGTAATTCTGAAATTAAAGCCAACCTACAAAGGATCCAGAAGGATCCCAGGCCCTTTCTAATGCAGAGAGCAGTGAAGTCCGTGCTGAATCCAGGCACCTCTGAAGTGCAGGCTCTAACGTACCGAGGGGAGACAGCTCTGACAGGAATGAGGTCCTGAGCTCATAACTCGGAAGACTCAAGTCAGAGCTGAGTGATCTCTCGGTGGTCAGGATATGTCTGGAAGAAATATTCATGCCCCAAAGTGAAGAGCCATGAATTGGCTCCCCACCCCAATCATGAAGGTGAAAACTTCAAAGCTTTAGAGTAACTGCTCACAGAGGGTAGGAGGTTGATCACCAGGCAGCACAGAATTGTTTGGTAAATTGTTTTGGCAGCTTTACCTAAAAAGAGGATCAATAGTTTGTACAGTCATGCATCAGATATCAACACTGAGGTCCATGATGGGACCTGCAGGAAAACGGTCTCATGGCGTTAGATGGCTCATGGACCTTCATCGCTGGCTCGGTTTGTGTCAGCACACTCTGTGATGTTCCCATAGCAGTGAAGTCGCCTAATCCAGCGTTTCTCAGAACCCACTCCTGTTGTTAAGTGACACATGACTATAATTAAAACCCAGATGGCCTCTTGAAAAAATAATCTGATATAAATCTAAAGTGACAGATTATTTGAGTTGAGAGGGACTCCATTGCTCATTGAAGTCAATCTTCTTATTTTATTAAGGAAACTGATGTCCAGCTACTTCCTGCCATAGCCAGGAGCAGAATTCGGGTCTCCCAAGAGCTTTGTGTGCTCTGTTAACGCCCAGCACTCTCTTCATATGGAATCCCAGGAGCATCCTAAACATTGCTGAGCGAGTCCCAAGGTAGGTGTGAGGAAGAATGGCTGTGCTATAAGACTCCTCTGGAAAATCTGACAAGTCAGTGTGAACCCTGGGAAGAGCAAGCAGCCCCCGATCACACAGGCAGTCCCTATAGGGGTGTGGCTTTTGAGCTCAGTTCTTCAGGTCAGCTTTAAGATTTGAGGGGGAAACAAAATAGAGATTTTGTTTAGAAACAGAAGATGGAGAATTCTTCAAAATTTGAGCCAGGCTATCCCAAGTCAATGCAGAAGGAGCCAGGGGAAAGGGGCCCAGATGCCCAGGAAATGAGGCAGGGAAGTGGGCCCCAGGCCAGCTGGTTGTGGCCGAAGGCGGGGGTGGTTGTGGTAATGATGAGGGTTTGAGAAAACATAGGTGCCCACGCATCTCAGGGACCAGAGGGGCAGACAGAGCCATCTGGGAGGGGGAGGCTGCCTCCAATAATGCTGACAGCACGTCAAAAACTTCAGCCCTCAGTAATGTTGCTGATGGGAGATGAACTGGGCTCTGAACTCACTGATGGTATGTGAGATATGAACTTGCTGATGGGCTGTGAACTCAGTGATTTCTTACTGAGTCCAAGGGAGGAAAAACATCAGATCACCATGCCTCAGAGTTCACGTTATGGAGTAAGGCAAAAAAATGTCCACAAGTGACTTCTGTTTAGCAAGGAGATATACCCTGAGAAAGTAGAGAGCTGGGAAATTTTTTCCTTTAGTATTAACAAGTGGCATTTTTTACTATCTCTTGATCTCCTCACTCCACCATGCTAACAGTTTTTTTTTTTAAAGAATCATCTTCTGGCATCTATATATCAATATATATTATCTATATATCCTAAAGAATATGATGATTTAAAAAAGAAAATATACTGATTGACAGAATGTCTAGAAAAAAAACATGGGAAACAAAGAACCAGAGTTCTGGAAACGGGGTTTGTGAGGATGAGACTGAGATCTCTGTTGTCTAGTGGAGAGAAACATTCTTAACAGCAGGTATTATTGCCTGTGAGGTGAGGCAGTGGCAAAGGTGGTGTAGGTCAGTGTGAAGGAGATTAGAATGGACCTAAGAAATTATTGGTAGACAGCACAGACCAAGGATGGAGACAGAAACTATGACCTACAATGAGAAATTTCCTACTTCTCAAACTAAGGGATTATTCAATGATATAGTGAGGGCTAATTTTAAGATTAGTCATAAATCTAGACTGTGTTGTTTCTCAGAAATATTATTGAACACACATACAGATATGATACAGTGGATTGAACCTATTTCTTGAAATAGGTTCATTTTTTCTTCCTCAGTGAAGAAATTTTGGTTTTCTACACCACCCTGAGTTATAAGCATCCCTCAAAGACCTGTTGGAACAGCTTTATAAAACAGGTGGTCTGACTGGTCCCTCCTTGGGTCCAGATGTAGTTGCCACTGTGGGTAGAATCAGGAAGCCACCCTCTTACAGGATGTTCTTGAATGAGGCCAGGATGTTAAGAAAAAAAATAAATAATAATCTTGCAATTACACCTCCCTACCACTAGATGATATGCATGTATAAGCAAGATAAAAATCCTCCGACATTTCCTTTCCACAGTGATGAGTGGGTCAGTTAAAGTATCCAGAATTCAGTCACAGATGTTGTTAGGAATGACAAGCAAAATGTGAAAATGAAGAACTGTCAGGACTGATTGGGATAAGAAATACAATAACAAATCTATTGAACACTTATCGTTTAACCCAGGGTCATTAAATTACAGAGCCTGTGGGCCCAATCCAGCTCCCCACCTGTTTTTTTTTAAATAAAGTTTTATTAGAACATGGCCACACTCACTCATCTGTGGTTGATTTTGATCTATTATGGCAGAGAGGAATAATCAAGGCAGAGTCTGTAGGAACTGCAATGTCTAAAATATTTTTTATCTCATTTTTATAGAAAAAGTTTTCTAATACCTGGTCTAAGCACATAGGGTCACACTAATTTAATCCTCATAATTTTATGGTTATGAGTATATATTATTTTTTACTTTACAGATAAAGAAATTGATTAAGGACATGAAATGAATTCTGGCACATGTATTAGATGACTATCAATGACATACAGGACAAAGGCTATAACTATTCATGTAAGACACCCTAAATACCACGGGGATGGTGTACCAAGATAAATAGCCATTGCTTCCAAGTAGTCTGTAGGGGAACTAGAAAGATAAAATTTAAATGATTGCAAGGTTGACTGGCCTTCTGTGTTACATAGGTAGAGAGGTACCTGGGATAGAGTAACTGATCACCTTCTCCCAAAGGGGTACTGGAGAATATATATATATATATATATATATATATATATATATATATATGTGTGTGTGTGTAATATGTGATTTATTATTGTTATTGTTATCGTTATCTTGGTGGTTAACCCAAGGTTGCTTCACTACGGAGTTACATCCTCAGTCCTTTTTATTTTATTTTGAAACTAGCTCCCACTATGTTGCCAAGGCTGGCCTAGAACTCACAATCCTCCTTCCTCAGCCTTCTGAGTAGCTGAGATTGCAGGTGCATGCCCCCACAACTGGCTAGTGAGAATATATTTTAAGAAACCATTCTGACACAACATTTCATAAGACATCAGAGGAAACAGTGTTCGATTGTGATTGGAACATCTGTAGTCAGATGGAAAACACAGGGAGATGGAGGCCAAGGAAGGCTTCCCTTTATGTCTTGGTTTCCCCTAGTCCAAGGAGGTCTTTGATCCTCCAGTGCTAGAATCTGGGTGCACCTGGCCCCTCCCTGGCATGGGGAGGTGAAGGGTTGGGTTAGGGGGTGGATGGCATTCAGCTTTACAGTTTCCCAGACTCCTACTCACCTTCAGGAAAATATTCCCTGATGTTTTGTAGTGAGCAGTGATGTACTAGGATTCTTCCTGTCTGTTCATTCTACTAACTGCTCAGTCCACACTGATAATTGCTGGACTTTGTTATTATTGTTATTATCATTATTTCTTTGGGGGTAACTGATTGCCTCAGAGCCTCACACTGTGAGGAGGAGAAGGAATGATAAGGAATTGAGTTGGTGGTCCAGCCAACTTGATCCTTGCTCTCATATAACATGACAGGGCCATATTGCCTGGGCTGTCTGAGGGTTCTCCATGTAGATACTTGCCTGGCTTCTACTCTTCACTTGTTTTGCTTGGGGGAACCCTCTCCTGCTAAATTCTTCCGCATTTTGATGTTCTGCTTCCCCAGGATACTACACCATCCCTACAAAATAAAGAAGTTTGGCAGACTTATTCTACACATTAAGAAGCTCCTTTCCCTAAGTCTTTGTTGACTTTAAAAAAGGAGGTGGTGCTGATGTTTAATGTTTCTTTGGGATGGGGCAGGGTGTGAGTCGAGGTCAGGATGAAATGACAGGAAAGAGAAACTCTGGGGCCTAGCAGGGGATATCATTCCCGTTTTTGTCAAAGGGTCTGAAATAAACAAAATTTTCCATGATGAGCATCAATTGCTTCTAAAGAGCAACCATCAGAATTATATGAGAAATTTCTTTTTTTTTCATTTAAAAATAGTTTTAATGTCAGTTAACAAAAATATTGGGAAATTCATGTGAGTTATTTTACTAACTTTTCTTATGAAATAATATGTGCTTTATAAAATAGAGAAATTTCTATTCTTTCAAATAACATGACCTGGGCCTTTTGGGGGTGGTGGTGATGGATTTGCCCCAGGCTTCATTATAGAATGGATGTCCTCTTTAGAGGAATAGGTGCAAGGCAGTGATACTGGATGAAACTAATCTCGGGGCCAGGTATGGGGTGCATTGGAGAAGAAAGAGAATAGAAAGGAAAATACAGCTCAGTGCAAAGATGTATATGCATGACTTTGCCTTTCACTAAACCTTCTGTGCAAAATGATCACATTTTAAATGTCATTGCCATGATAACAATTGTAGTTGGAAATAGCTGACATTGAATCAATCACTGCAACAGGAACTCTAACCAGGAGTGGTGATGTCTATCTGTGTCCCTTTTGTCTATGTGCCATGTCCTGCTGTGCCTAGTTTGGGATGGTCCACAAATATAGCATAATGAGGAAAATGTCAGAAAAATGGATTTCGTGTTTGCTTTGATCCCAGTCTTTTTTCCCAGTTGGTTTGAAGAGCAGCTTATTTAACAAATATTATTTGTCTTTATTCTCACTATCTTCAGATGTCTGTTTGAGACCACATCCTTGTCTCCTTGTATTAAATGAGAACCGGTTAAGAAGCAAGGATTAAATCTGACTTATCGAAATAGGTTTTCTTCAAAACTTAATTCTCCATCCCGCCCCTGGTATTTGGTGGAAGTGTTTATCCAGAAGGGCTCACTTTCAAAATCTGTGTTATTGGGTGGAGAAACGAGGGTTGAAGTCCATCCCTGGTGACGTCAAGGGGTGTCAAATTTGGCCTGCTGCTCGCACTTCCTGTTGACTCCAACAGAAAGGCTGCAGTTGTCGCACAGTCAAAAAACATGAAGCTCTGAGACCGTCTGAATTACTAATCACTACACGTCCTGTTCAGTCTAACCACTTTCCAAGTGATTAAATAAACCAGCCAGGTCCGTGACTCAGCTTCCGAGGGGGGAGCAGGCTGATGGTGCATCTCGGCTTCCAGTTCCCAAGGTTTGGTCCAGGGCTGCCTCCCACAGCGGGAGAAGCCCCCGGCCCCCTTTGGAACTCATTCCTCCCTGGACAGGAAGACGTACACAGACGATGAAGTGTATGGTTTACTGGAGAAGGGCCACCTCACCATGAGTCTTGGAGGGAAAGGGCTGCAAAAATGTCATCTTTCATCGGTTGGTGTCACTCCTTGGAACCAGTCACAAGTAGCTGGGTGTGGTAAGGGCGAAGCTGTCTGAAGTTTGAAAGAAGAAAATATATTGAGTAGGAAACACTAACTTTTTCCTCTTTTTGGCTTCGCTGTCAGTAGATACAGTATTCCCCTTGTTTGTTTCGGTAACTACCGAAGGTTCAGGGAGGAGA